GTCCCCAAGTATCGTTTCTGTGGCCCTAACTCTGTCCCTGTCCCTAATACAGAGCGGTCTGCCTCTGTTCAATGACTGCAGGCAAATGAAGAATTCCAAAATGGCCGCTATTTATAGCTCGACCATTACACAGTGCTAGCTGGCTGGCTGCTGATTGGCTGATGCGATCACATGTCGTTGAGGAATGCATTATGGGTCAGCGCGCCTTGTCTGCGTGCCTTCCCAGACATCCCCGCTCCGTCGCCGCACATGTCAGCCGCCATTTTCGGAAAAAATTTCGATTCGCGCGTCCGAATTCGGCTATTTTTCGGATTCGGCGCTAATCGAAATTTTTCCGATATTCGACTCGAATTCCACTTCGGCTACTTCGATTCGCTCATCTCTAATGCTAATATTCGGATTCGCCGCGAATCGAATTTTTCCTGAAATTCTAAACGAATTCCACTTCGCCTGGTTCAATTCGCTCATCTCTAGTCAGTATCATTGAACTTCATTAATCAGATCCTCTTCATTATATGTTAGTATTGCTGAACTCCCCAGAGAGATCCTAATGTTGGTATCACTCCTGTCAGTAATCACTGTACATCCATCAGAAAGATCCTCGCATCAGTATCAATGAACTTCCACTCAGAGAAATCCTCACCTCAGTGTCACTGAGTTGGCCCCAGAGAGATCCTTCACCTGGTCACTGAGCTTTCCCATCCTCTCCAACTAATAAGTTGAATTTGACATTAAAATCTTTCTTTTGGCTTGTATGTTCACATCCAAATCTTTCTGGCTCTATAAACCATCTAAAAACACAAATAATTCAGATTTGATCAACCCTGAGGTGGTAAAACCCATTTCCCAGAATCCTTTGCAAAGATATGCAAATGAGCAGGTTCAGCCAGTAAAATTCAAATCATGCCTCTGCTGATAACTGTCACCAGTGTGCTTATGAGAGCTCTCAACTGAATTTTCCTGCCATAGCTGGACACAGGAGCAGGACCACGGCAACCGCCTGTAAAATGACAGCCTTCTTAACTACAAAGGTTGGGGGGGGGGTATTCTGCTTTAACAAAGCCTTCATTTTTCCTTCATGTAATCCTCCCAGCACTTTGTTATGTGGCAATTTAAGTGTCTGCTGTCATCTCAGGAAGTAGCTGGTGCAGCCTCTCCATATATACAAGTATAGAATCGAAATTCAAGAAACCTCCAGGTGGTAATGTTGTGTTATTAACCCCTCGCCTACAGGGCACCTATACCCCCTTCCTGCCTACAGGGCACTTCTACCCCCTTCCTGCCTATAGGGCACCTATACCCCCTTCCTGCCTACAGGGCACCTATACCCCTTCCTGCCTACAGGGCACTTCTACCCCCTTCCTGCCCAGGCCAATTTCCAGCTTTCAGCGCTGTTGCACTTTGAATGACAATTGCGCAGTCATGCAACACTGTACCCATATGAAATTTTTATCATTTTTTTGTGACAAATAGAGCTTTTATTTTGGTGGTATTTAATCACCTCTGGGTTTTTATTTTTTTCTTAAACAAACCAAAAACCACTGAAAATGTTTAAAAAAAAAAATGTGTTTTTTCTTAGTTTTTGTTATAAAACTTTGTAAATAAGTGACTTTTCTCCTTCACTGATGTGCGCTAATGAGGCTGCACTGATGGGCACTGATAGGCTGCACTGATGGACACTGATAGGTGGCACTGATGGGCACTGATGAGGAGGCACTGGTAGGTGGCACTGATGGGCATTGACAGGCATCACTGATGGGCGCTGAAAGGCAGTACTGATACATGGCACTGATATATGGCACTGGTAGACAGCACTGATAGGCGGCACTGACTGGCACTAATAGGTGGCACTGACTGGCACTGTTAGGCAGCACTGACTGGCACTGATAGGCGGGCACTGATGCACACTGATAGGCAGCACTGACTGGCACTGATAGGTGGCACTGACTGGCACTGATTGGCATTGATAGGTGGCACTGACTGGCACTGATGGGTGACACTGAAAGGCAGCTCAGATGGGCACTGATATGTGGCATTGATGTGCACCTGGTAGGCACTGATATGTGGCACTGATGTGGCACTGATGGGCACTGGCACGAGGCACTGATGAGCACTGACATAAGGCACTGATGGACACTGACAGGTGGCAATGCTGGGGCTACATTGATCATCAGGGCACACTGATCATCAGTGCCCTGATGATCAGTGTACATGTCCCCTCCGCGGAAAGCCGATTTCTGGCTCTCCTCTCCTCTGTCAGCATGACAGCTCGAGAGGAGAGAAATGCCGATAACCGGCATTTCCCTGTTTACATGTGATCAGCTGTGATTGGACACAGCTGATCACATGACCGAGCCGACATCTTCGGCTCTTTCCGTGATCGGTGATCCGCCGATCGCCACGCTGTGCGCTCCCTGAGCCGCGCATGCGCAGTGAGAATGGGACTGAGGACGTCATCCCAGAACGAGAGAACCACCTTGCGCCCGTCATATTACTATATGGCGGGCGGGAGGTGGTTAATATGGGTTTGGATTTTTCCAAATTCTAACCGTTATGCTGGTCATTCACATGAATTTTGAGAAATTCCTGTTTAATGGGTTGAACTTTGGGATAAGCAGACATTTAGATTTACTAAAACTGGAGCAATTACAATCTGGTGCAGCTGTGCATGGCAGCCAATCAGCTTCTAACTTCAGCTTGTTGTATTATGAATCACTGGACTTGTCATCACATTTGAGCACCTGGAGCTGCACTACAATCAGTAATGTGAAAATGGGTTTGGCTTGGGTGAAAGCTGTGTGAATTTTGGGTGGCATGATATAGCCAAGAGGGATTATGTTATCACAAATATTTTGAAACTCACAGTACGTCTGCCATTATTTTATCAATACAGTGTCGAGGAGAGGCCAAATGTTTGACTTGTGTGCCTACACAGCAGGAAAACATTTAGATTATGTGTGTTCTCACTGGACACCACTGGGGGTCATTTACTAAAACTGGGAGAGTGCAAAATCCTGTGCAGTTCTGCATAGAAATCAATCAGCTTTCAGGTTGTTCTGTCAAAGCTTAATAAAACAAGCTGAAGTTAAAAAGCTGATTGACTACCATGCACAGCTCCTCAGATTTCTGAGTTCACCAGTTTTTGTAAATCAGTCCCTGTGTGTCTGCATTCCAGATAGCACAGTTAGTCCTCATGCACACTTAATGTTTTTTACAGCGCCTGTTTTTGGCTTTTGACATTTTTTTCTACAGCTAGTAAACCCCCCTAACATGTTATCCTATGTGCCCATGCACACATAGACTGTAATCAAGGTTTTTTGGCTGGAAAAAAATCACAGGACTAGTGGGTTTCGAGAGGATTTTTTTAGCTGTAAAAACGCTCTAACGCTGAAACGCTGAAAATGCGGCAAAACATGGTTTTAAAACGCCACAAACCGGCATTTTTGTATGTTTTTTGACACATAAAAAAATAATTTTTGGGGGTCAAAAAACTTTTTCACCCCCAAAAATAATTTTTTGGTGTTTTAAAAAAAACACTAGGAAATGGTAAAAAACATAAACGTGGAAAAAAAAAAAAACGCTGGAAAACTCTGCTAAACATGGCAAAACATCACTAAAAGCTAATGTGAAGCTGCTAAAAAAAGCTGAAAATGTTTTTAATGTGACTTTACGCAGCTAATGTTACCAGCGTTATCAAAATGTCTAGTGTGCATGAGGACTTAAGAGGTATAAAAAAAAAATCTCGCCTAGCTTCTGAGACAAAAGGTGTGCATCCCAATCTTCAAAATTCTGAAAAGTGCAATAACTAATAACTCTCATCCTGTTCAATGCACAATCGTAAAATTGCTTGTTTGTGCAGAAAAGAAGACGCTGGGCCCCAAACATACCAGCTTTAAGGTAAGAAATTGATGCCATAAATATTCTAGTTGATAGAAAGGATGTGGCACTTGGCCCTGAGGAGCAGGTAGACATGTAGAAATCAAAGCCCTCACTAAGTACTTTTTATTAAGTACTTTTTATTTAAATTTGAGCCATAGTTGGAGGTCCTTTGGCTCCCTGGCAGGCAGAATCTACCAAACATTCTGTTTTTTACAGGAAACATAGTGAAAGTTTAGAACTCTGCTTTCAGTCTAGAACTCTTGTGACCTTACACAGTACAAGCTTAAAATGCATTATTATGGAAATTTTGGGGAGATTTACTGCTGATGCAGCTCTGCATAGAAACCAATCAGCTTCCAGGTTTTATTGTTAAAGCTTCATTGAACAAGCTGACGTTAGAAGCTGATTGGCTACCATGCAGGGCTGGTGCTTCCCCTAGGCAAACTAGACAGCCACCCAGGGTGCACTGCCACCTAGGGGCACCTGGGCGCAGCACAGACCAGCACTCTCTCTGCGTGGCCTATGGACCTCTTGTATGAATTCTTTATTTCTCTGCAGAGTCCCCCTCTCCTTATACACAGGGAATGATGAGGGAACGAGGGGATGAGGGTATCTTTACTCTGCACAATTATCTCACAGCCTGTCCACACACATGACCATTTAGACAGAGGAAGATGCTGGGTTTCTGGGGCCAACTGAGCTGCCGCTTCTTCCATTGTTCTTCTCAGACTCAGTCCCTTACTGCAAGCTGGCTGGTGGCTGCTGATCACTGTGGAGTTTTAAAATTCTGTCTCGTTTTTTTGTTTGTTTCTCTGTCTGATTGTTAATACAGTTAATTTAAACTTGGCTATAATATAAAAAAAAATTTTAACCGCTTGCCCTCCTGAGGATTTACCCCCCACTTCCTGACCAGGCTATTTTTTTGCATTAAGTTTACTTTAACTGACAATTGTGCGATCATGCAACACTGCACCCAAGTGAAATTTATGTAATTTATTTCCCACAAATTGATCTTTCTTTTGGTGGTATTTGATCGCTTGTGAGAGATTTATTTTTTGCGCTATAAAAAAAGACACAATTTTTGAAAAAAAAACAATATATGTCCAGTAAAAAAAAAAAATGTAAATATCAAATTTTGTCATAAATTTAGGCCAGAATGTATTCTGCTACACATCTTTGCTAAAATCCCAATACATGTAAATTAAATGGTTTATGTGAAAGTTTTAGCATTTACAAATGGTGGTACAGATATTGGAATTTTTTTTTACTTGTAATGGCGGCAATCAGAAACTTATAGCAGGACTGCGGCAGACATTTTGAAAACTGGGGGGAACTGACTTGGTGTCACTAACATCCCTAGTGACACCAATACAGTGATCAGTGCTAAAAAAAAAAGCACTGACACTGTACTCATGGCACTGGGTTAACATGAGTGCGATCAGAGGGTTAACTGTGTGCTGGGAGTGTTTTACTATGGGGCTGTGTCAGTGTGCTACACTGTAAGCACCCTTCTTTGGATGGCTCTGCTGTGCACAGCCATCCAAAGCAGTGTGCCCGAGCTGACAGGGAGGAGAACTGTTAGTAAACAAACAGTTCTCCTCCCCATTGGAGATTGTTGGAAATCACCGGGTGCCGTCCGGGACCCGGTGATTGACAGTTGCGGCCTCGAATGGCGACGCGGGGGTATGGTGCGCGCATGCCCCCTAACAGGAACTGCAAAATTACGTATATATACATGATTTTGAGCACCCGTGCCACCTTGTAGCAGTATATCTGCTATAGGGTGGACAGGAAGCGGTTAATATTGGTGTTGGTTGCATCTTATGACCATTTCTTTTTGCAAATTAAAAGAAATTTAGTAGTTTCATGTTTTGCTTTGATGATTTAATATTTTATACTGTTTTTAAAAGTTTAGCTGGTCTTGTCTATGGCACAAAATAGTCTAGCACCGGCCCTGCTACCATGCACAGCTGCACCAGATTCTGAGTGCACCCTATTATACCATTGAAATTCCATGTGATTTTACAATATTCTTTTTTCGTGACTTCTAAAATTCTGGAGGACAAGTGCTAAACTATTTTTAGAGCAAAAGACAATATCATTATCGTTGTGAATGTAAACACAGAGTAAGAAAAGACAGATGCAAAAGCACTAAAACTTAATGAATGATATTTTTAGCATATGAGACGCATAATGCTTTCTAGGTGTCAAGACAGCATTTCTGTGTCTGGTCTCTAAACCAAACTGCTGAGCTTCCCTGCGGTTTCATTGCTAAAAGGTTAATTCACTGTCAGTCCTAAAATGCCCACTGAAAGGAAGTGTCAAATAGAGTTATGATAATGACAAATAAAATGGCAATTTGCAGCATGCCTGCATAATTGGCAGGAGATTACATTATTTCTTTCACAATGATATAGTGTATGATTCAAATTTCGGTAAACTACCATAACTATAAAGATATGAACTCAGTTTTTTTTATCCATGAAGAATATCAGAATCCTGATCACCTTGTATCAGATAACTCCCAAAAGCACCACACGTGGTGATTCGATTAATTGCATTTACTTTTCATATTAAATAATATTTGGTTTTGAACACAAATCCATTAAGCATATTGACATTCCCAGGTAATGAAATAAGTAAAAGAATTATTTAGACTGCTCAGCAAGTATGCAAAATCGAAATACTACTAGGACTATGGCACTTTCAATTGTGTAAGAGAGGTCCAGGAATTAAGGGGCAAGAGGCCTTGTGACAATTAGTGGTGAATTTAGACTTTCTGCTGCCCTAGGCAACACAAAAATTGGGCGCCCGCTCCCCATGGAGAGAGGCTGACATTGACCAACAACACCCCTGCACACCTCCCACCTGAGAGAGCCTTGGGAGAGAAAGACACTCACCTTCGCAGCTCCAGTCATCTTTGGGAATGAGAGTCGGGCTCTCCATACATCATCAAGCAGCCTGCAACCTCTCTTGGATCCCACCTGGTCCCCATGCCACACATGTCCCTTCTTCCATCCCTTCTTTCGGGGGGGGGGGGTGCTGCCCCCCCTGAAAATGCCGCCCTAGGCAAATGCCTTGCTTTCCTTGTGGTACCTATACTTTGTAATATACGGTGTAATATACTTTCTTATTAGGACCTCTATGCCAGGTCACAGTTGAGTGGATTGTGAATGTCCACCTGGAAAATTAAAGGCCTACTATTAGTAATAAGGGTGGTGTAATGATTAGACACACAGTAGTTTGAATAATAGATCAAATATCACCATCAAAGTTTCCTAATCCAGTTATTTTATGAAGTAGAATCAATGCTCAATTTTTCATGGCCATACAGGCCTTGAAACATAGAACATTTCTTTCAGGGCTCTTTATCTCATGTGGCAGCCCTTTCCACCCCTCTGAAAAGCGATTGTAGTGGGGGGCATTTGATGGGCAGTGAAGATAAAATTTGTTGCCTCTTCACTAC